GGGGGGGGGGGGCGTGGGGGAGGGGGGCGAAGCCCTTCCCCCCCCCGCTACTTGAATTACAAAAAGAAAATACATATATTCCTTAGTATATATACAAAACAATACATTCATGCGCACTTCTTAGCGGCCCGGTGCGGGTTTGGTGGGTGGTGAGTCAAGATCTTGACACAATGTTCATGATTGACTAGCCTCTCTGCTCTTTTACGTGCGGGCATTGCCCGCACCGCCCGCACTGCGGGCGCTAAGCTAGTTATTATTATTATTATTATTATTATTATTATTTATTTTTTTAGAAATGATTTCGTTTTGAAATTATTTTTGTACTATTTTTGAAAATACGTCCCAATTAATTTTTTTGTTCCACAAAATCTTTTCGAAATACTTTAGAATTAAATCACCCTTTTCACAAATTTCTTTGAATTTTTTTTTCGTTTGAAATTTTCCTTCTGAACTTCACTTTTGCATTAACTAATTTGTTCTTTCTCGAAATTTTGAATTTAAAAATACTTTTGAACTCGTTACTTCTTTTCGAAATTCCTTTGAAATATTTCGAAATTAAGTGATTCTTTTTCTGCGAAATTTCTTTTTATTTTTTGAAAATTTTTGAATACTTTAGAAATAATTCATCTCTTTGTCGAATACCCTTAATTTCTTTCCAAATTCCTTGGAATCCTTTTGCAACTCATAATTAGCCCTTTTCTGAAATTTTGAATTCACATTTTGAACTTTGAAATTAATTACTTATTTTTACGAAATTGTCTCAATTTTTTTTTTTTTATCTGCCGATATTTCTTTAAATTCATGTTTGAAAGTAATCCCTTCCTTCGGAATTAATTATTATTTTTTCAAAATTTCAATAAAAATCTTTAAAATTCCACCTCCTAATTCTTTTTCTATAATTTGAAGATATTATGAAATTTCACGTAAATAAATTGTGAAATAAATTCAAATTTATTTTCTACCAACATTTTGAACAATGAATTTTGTAAATCTCTGCTCGGATCCTTCAAAATTTTATTCTACCCTAATTAATTTCGAATAAATAAAATTCCCTACTTTCGAAAAAATCTTGGCAATTATCTTTATTTTGCCGCCACCGCTGCTGCTGCATCCTCCACATCCGTTTAGGCCGCATCCTCCACTCCCTCTTCCCCCGACATGACCGCATCCTCCATCAACATGTCTGACATCCGCACCGACTCGGTCGATAGCATCGCTCGCAACCTCGCAGACGAACAACCACCAACAAACACCGCCACCCCCGACCTCTTGGCCATCCTCCAGACTCTCAACACCCTCCAAACCTCTGTCACCGCCTCTCTCAACGACATAAGGGCCACTGCGTCATCCATATCCAATCGCGTCTCCACGCTCGAAGGGAACAACCCCTCCATCACGGTTGTCACCACGACCGCACCTCCCTCCTCCACAGCGCAAACCACTCCCTCCTCCACAACGCAAACCACTCCCTCCTCCACAGCCACCTCTAGCAACACCCCCCCGCCGACCTCCTCCACTCCTACCACCTCTACCACCACATCCACCAACCCTTCAACCTCCACCATCGTTTCGTTCCCCCCACCTCCTCCCTCATCCGNCCGACCTCCTCCACTCCTACCACCTCTACCACCACATCCACCAACCCTTCAACCTCCACCATCGTTTCGTTCCCCCCACCTCCTCCCTCATCCGGCGCATCCTGCACACCGCCTCATTCCTCGCCTATCCACGTCACCCCTCTTCCCCCCCCCCACTCTCATACCATTCCCCAACCCATCATGACGACCTCCACCATCCCCACCATCCGTCCCACCTATTCCCAAGTCACCTCCGGGATCTACCCCACAATGTCACAACTCGCCCCCAACTACCTCCTTAAGGACAACAACCAACTCGACTACACCTGCTACGACACCACCCCCGATAACCTCAGCTTCAACACCCTCGCCCAGATCGTTTCCCGCAACGGGGAAATCCCTCGTTCCTTCTGATCTAGCGAAATTATGTCCTTCTACGGCCTCCCCCACGAGGACGTTTTCCTCTTCCTAACCCAGCTCTAGAACTTTTTTCACCTCCACCACATGCTCCTTGCCCACTGGCTCCCAATTGCCACCTCCCGCCTCCTCGGCAATGCCGCCAAATGGTGGATGGCTGAAGTCAGCAACCGTCGAGCCTCCGGAGGACCACGTCACTCCTTCCTCCAATGGGCCAACCTTCTCACTGCCACCTTCCGCCCCCAGAAAACCATTGATGACTACCTTGAACAATTCTTCCACCTCCGTCAGACCGGTCCCACGGACCGCTTCGTCCAATACGTTCGCTCCCTCCGCCACCACCTCCCCACCACCGTCATTCCCGACTTTGCGTTCATCTCCCGCATCAAACGAGTATGCCACAAAGACCTTGCAACCGCCCTCGCCCACGAACCCGACATACCCCTTGTTGACCTCCTCTCTCGCATACTTCACCACGATCGACTCCTCCACCCCCATCACCAGCCCACGCCCGCCCCCTCCCGCACCCGCTTTTTCCATCCCATCACCCCTGAAGACACCACCTCCATCCCTTCCTCGGACGAGTTCACCACACCTGACCCCAACGCATCTTCCGATTCACTCGACTCTTCATCCATCACTCCCGAGGAACTCAATGTCGTCCAATTCATGAGAATGGAGCGTAGAGATCGCAGCTCCCGTCCACCCTCATCTACCCCACCCTCTCGCCCTCAAGAAACTCACCCCCGAGGAGCGCACCTACCTCCAAGCAAAMGGGGGTTGCTTCCGTTGTCGCCAATTGGGGTACCAACAAACCAACTGCTTCAACGCCGCACGATTCACCCGCCAGTCCGCCTCCACTTGACCCGCAACCTCCGCATCACCGCCCTCGGCAAGCGCGGGTCCCTCCTCATCATGAACACAATCCCCAGGACATTGTCCCGACATCGACATCGTGTCTGTCGGCCAACCCATCGGTGACGTCCTTCGTCCCACCGATGGCTCATCTGGCATCGACAATTCGTCTGCCTTCCCCCTCTCCGGTGATGCCCCCTCCACCGGACGACTTCTAGGCGTCGCAAACGCCTCCCACTGCCTCGTGCTCCTGTACCCTTCTTCCAAACCCATCCACTGTCACCTTCTCCGATGTTGTTGAGGAACAAGCCCGACACGATCGGCTTGTCCGCTTAGGCAACGAACAACGCCGCCTCAACGCCATCATCTCCACTGCCAACTCATCTCATTTCCACCTCAAATTCATCGCCGCCACCCTTGGTGCGTCTACAACTAAGTTCCGGGCCCTCCCCGACATTGGAGCCACAGGTAACTTCATCACCGACGCGTGTGTCCGCAAAGCTAGTCTTACCTCTATCGGTTATGACTCCCCGATCACGATTCGCCTAGGGGACAAAGACACCGCCGTTGTAGTAGACCGCACGGTTCCCGAGACCACCATGACCATCGGAACCCTCTGCAGTCAGGTCTCGTTTGATGTCATGCACTTGATGTGCGACATCGTCTTAGGAACCCCGTGGCTGGACCGCTACATGCCATACGCATTCCMCCYCAACTTCCTTCMCCTCACCAACCCCCCCGACACAACCATCAACATCCCCTATCTCCCATATCCGACCTCCCAAGGCTCTGTCACCCCGCACCAATTCCTCCACATGGCTCGCCTAAACCCCAACTCCGCCTACTACTGTCTTGTCCTTGATCGCGAAAGTCCCGAGAACCTTTTCCCGACGGACAAACCCTATCAAGGCCCCTCCTCCAACCCCGCCATCACCTCAATCCTCGATGAGTTCAAGGACGTCTTTCCTGAGTCCGTACCCGTCGGACTACCTCCGGATCGTCCCATACCATCGATTTGGAACCCAGACATCCTCCACCTTGCCGCCCTCCATACCGACTCTGTCCCCGAAGCCGAAGAAATGAAGCAGCAACTCGGTGAACTCCTTGAAAAAGGGTTCATTAAGCCAAGTTCATCCCCCTTCGGAACCAGCTGCCTCTTCGTCAAGAAAGGTGGAACTTCGGAACTCCGCATATGCACAGACTACCGCACCTTGAACCGGATAGCGATCAAGAACAAGTACCCCCTACCTCGGATTTCCGAGCTCCTTGATCGTCTCCGTGGAGCCAAGTACTTTACCAAGATCGACCTTCGCAGTGGCTTCCACTAGATCCGTATCCTCGAGGACACCCACACGACCGCCTTCCGCTCTCGGTTCAGGAACTACGAGTTCCTCGTGATGCCATTCGGACTCACCAATGCCCCCGCTACCTTCCAATCTACCATGAACTACATCTTCCGCAACCTCCTCGAAGTCTGTGTCGTCGTCTACCTTGATGACATCCTTGTCTTCAGCCCCACCTTTGAGTCCCACCTTCAGTACCTCCACCAAGTCCTCTCGATCCTCCGAGAGCAAAAATTCTACGCCGAGCTCAACAAATGTATGTTTGCCGCTTCGAGCGTCGAATACCTTGGCCACATTGTCTCCGCTGAAGGCATCCGTATGGACCCCTCGAAGGTCACAGCCCTCGTCGAGTACCCCACACCCAAGACCCTCCTCCAACTCCGTTCCTTCCTCGGCCTTGCCAACTATTACCGCCCGTTCACCCACAAGGACGAGCCCTTCCATTGGAACGATCGCCGCCAACACGCTTTCGACTTACTCAAGCAAACCATCACCACGGCCCATGCCCTCAAGATCGCCGACCCCACTTGCCATTTCTATGTCACCACTGATGCCTCCGACTTCGCCATCGAAGCCGTACTGTCCCAACATTTCCCCCACGACACCGCCGAGACCCCTCCATTAAGGACTCGCCCACTCACCCCGAGGCTCCACCTGGCGAATACCCCATCGCCTTCGCAAGCAAGAAGCTCCTTCCTGCAGAGATGAATTACCCCTCCAACGAGAAGGAACTCCTCGTCGTGATTCACGCCCTCACAGTCTGGCGCCCGTACCTCGACGCACAATACTTCACCATCCGCACCGACAACACCATCGTCTCCTCCATCCTCTCCAAGAAAGATATCACTCCACGCCAAGCCCGCTAGCTAGACTTCCTTGCCCAATTCACATTCACCATTTGCCATACCCCCGACAAAAGCAACCGCGTTGCGGATGCCCTCTCTCGACCACCCGACCACAGGCCCCCGAGAAAGTCTACGCCACCATGACTCATATCCAACTCCTTTTATCACTTCATCATTGATACACCCAAGTCTATCTCTCCTGCTCAGACTTCACCACCATTTACAACAAGCTCCGCGATCTTGACCCAGTTCCCGACTACTCCCTCCACAACAACCTCCTCTACATCGATACTAAAGGCACTCTCCGACTTTGCATCCCCGACGCATGAGGCGTCCGTACTCAGCTCTTGGTCGAGCACCACGACGCCAAGACCGCAGGAAATCTCGGTTTTCAGAAAACCTTCGACACCATCTCCCGCTACTTCTACTGGCCTTTCCTACTCGCCGACATCAAGGCATACATTCGCTCATGCCCCACGTGTCAAGCTATCAACCCCTCGAACCGGGCCAAACCCGGCAAGCTCCAATCATTGCCCATCCCAACTCACCAGTGGCAGTCCATCTCCATGGACTTCGTGTGCGGCCTCCCGAAGACCGACCGCGGGCATGATTGCATCTACGTCATTGTCTGTCACTTGACCAAATGTGTGCACTTCGTCCCTTGCACGATCTCGCACAGTGCCAAAGACGTCGCCACACTCTTCTTCGACCATGTTGCTCGCCATCACGGCCTCCCCGAGAACATCATCAGTGACYGTGATCCTCRCTTCCTCTCACAATTCTGGAAACACCTCTTCACGGCCTAYGGAACCACRCTCAAGTATARCACTGCATTCCACCCACAGACCGATGGACAAAYAGAGAAGATGAACGATACACTCCAAAGAATCCTGCAGAAGTATTGTCATCCACACCAACACGATTGGGATCAGTTGCTCACAGCCGCCGAGATTGCCTACAACAACGCCGTCTGCCCTTCTACCGGCATGTCCCCATTCTACCTCGACCTGGGCTACCACCCTCGCTTGCCCTCTGACTTCTTGCTCCCTTTGCAGCTTAAGCCATCCACCCCCTGCCCCTCTATCAATGAATGGGTAGCAACAATGAACATACTCCTGAGAGAAGCCTCCGAAGTCATTGAACGAACCCAAGAACAACAAGCCAACAAGACTAACAAACATAGACGCAACGTGTCATTCAAAGTAGGGGACAAAGTCTGGCTCTCCGCCAAACGCTTTGAACCTGAACACGGCTTGTCCAAGAAACTCTCCAACAAATGGCTCGGTCCCTTCCCCATCATTGAACAAACCTCCCCCGTCAACTACAAACTCCAACTTCCCCCTGACATGAGTCGTGTCCACCCAGTCTTTCATGTCGAGTACCTGAAAGAATACCATGAATCCCCGCCCCAGTTCGTCGACCGCCCATATCCTAGACCTCCACCAATCATGCTACCCACAGACCCTGAATTCGTTGTCGAAACCATTATCGACCGACGAACCACTCAGGTATCTGATCAACCGGAACCAATCACTGAATACAAAGTCAAATGGACCGGATACCCCGACGAAGAATCTACATGGGAACCTCTCTCTAATCTTAAGAACGCCATGAAACTTGTCCGCGCCTATGATCGTGCTAATCCTATGTCCTAGATACCTATATAATGGCATAAACCCTGCTACAACCTCGCAACCCCTCTCTACACACACCCTTGAACCCAGTCCACCCTCCCCTTGACCTTCATTCCTGATGTCTGATCTGCCCTTGCCCTCGCCTAGCCTTGTCCTATCTGTCCTCTCCACTACCTTGTCTCTCTTGTCCAATGTTCATGAACCTGCGTGACACCGGCGATAAAGGATCTAATGGCAAGCGCAAGAGGACGATGACCTGCCGCCTCAGTGTTCATGGAGATTACAGCTGGTTTGGCCACCATGCTGTTTCATCGGCCGGCATCCCGACTCGCGGACTTACTGGAGCAGCAACTTGTGACATGGATCTTTGCATCAGTCTGCAACTTCCTTGCTTCCAGATCAGACCTCATTGCAGTTCGTGTACCGGACGCACCCTACCACTTAGACTTTGACACTTGAACTACTACTATGCTTCTTGGACTTCTACCTATCGCAGCCGCCGAAGACCGCTTCCACCACCTACTCCAAAGGCCTGATCAAGACCGCTGCAGACCCCCTTTCAAGACACTTGGACACTTTGTTCCTACATGAGATTCTGCCTCCGACTCCTTCGGACACACCAGCCCTTGCATCCTGAACAAACATTTTCATTTTTATTTTTCCTGACTTTGACAACCCTGTAGAACATCATTAGCAGATCCTTGTTTCCCTAACCATTGTTCCCCGTACCCACTAGAACATCAATAGAAGTTCCCTGTTCCCTGAACTCTGTTCCCCCTTAACCTATAGCAAACCATGCAGTCCCCTTAGTTCATCAGTAGGACTACCCTGCTCCCTGTCGTCCCTTTAGTTCATTTGTAGGACTACCCTCTTCCCTGCAACCCCCCCTAGTTCATCTGTAGGACAACTCTGTTCACCGGTACCAAACCCTGTTCCCTCTTACTCTCGAAGCCCATGCCACCCACATTATACCCCTCTTCCCTTTCGACTTGTTCACCAGTGATCGGCCCCGTCCCGTCCTTCACAAATTTCAGCATTGCTTCATGATTTTTGGCAGCCGGGACGTTGCCTTCTAGAGGGAGGGGATAGTGTTACGGACTCCGCCAAGGCTCGATCCTTGGTCTATCTTTTTGCTGTTTCGGTTGCGTCCCGTTTTCGGCCTGGCACCCTTTTTCCGAACCCCTCCTTTGGTACCGTAGGATTTTGGACAACTGGCGCCATGCTGCAATTCGTGCGCTACTTTCAAATACCGCATTTTTCAGTTCTGCCCTCGGGGCCTTTGCAGAAATGCCCCTGGTACCATACGTGTCACCGGTACTTATACCGGCTCCCCGTACGGTACGGGGACCAGTCTCGTACCAGTTTTCTGTTGTTGTACTCGTACTCAATGTGACTTGCTGTTTCGGCATTCGGAATCCAAGACTTCGACTTTGTGCCTTGCCACTGTGTCTGCGTCTGACCCTCAGTCGTGTCGAGTGAGTGAGTGTGTGTGTGTGCTCTCACTCTCCCCCTCTCTCTCTCCTCTCCCTCGGCTCTCCCTTAGCCTCACGCCCGTCACATCAATGCTGCCCCCAACCATGGATGGCCACGTGGACGTCGACGACATTTTGGAGCACAGAGACATGCCCGTTCCTATGCCTGTGTATAGAGGAAGACCGCCGAAACCCAAGAGGGAATACCGAGTCAGATCCAGGCATCACACGTATCCAAACGCAGACCGATGGTTCACCAGAGAGGAACTAATTGAAATGGTACCTCGAATTCTGGCAGACTATGAAAGAAGGTGAAGAGGAAGGTTCCTGCTTAAGAAGCATCTCAGCGGACTTTCGAAGCTAAGGGGGATGGAATGTGAGGAATGTGTCCTCATGGGGCCCTAGACAACATGCATTTGTTCTGGACTGTGGCCCCCACCAAGCCTCGTGTCCGCGCTAAGTGAAGGTTGGGACCTGAATATCCACGAGAGGCCCTTATCTCAACATTTTTCAATGTGGGTCTCAGACAGTTGTTGCACGCTAGTTGGTTGAAGTGCAACCTGGGCCTCGCCCTGGGCTCTTCCAGAAGAAGCAGCTGCGTCAGGCAGTTGAGCCCAGGACGCAGGTGGTTGCGCCCCGGGCAAACGTAGTGTGAGGCTGACACATCACGAAGTGGCCATGGGCCAATGAGAATGCAGCATTGTCGTCACATCTACCTCGCGGGCCAATGCAAACACTGCAAACATTCGGAGCCTGGAAAATCCTGGGTGTGCCCAATTGAAAAGGGCCCAGGCCCTCAATTGTAGACATGGGCCTGGGCGTAGACACTGGGGCCCGATCAGAAGCTACTGGAAACTTCCACGGCCAGGCCCAGACAGTCCAGCAGCAGCAGCATCTTCCATATAGGGAGGAGGCCAGCCAGTCTTGGGCATTCTGGCCTACACAGGCAATGCAGACACGCTGCTACAATTCAGCGCAAGTGTCTGCATTGCGCTAGCGCTGGCTGGGGCGCGTGCGGGCGCTAAGAGGTGTGGGCGTTGCAGAACAGCGGGGCGCCAAGCGGCCATAGCCGGGCTGCAGGGGCACGGGCAGGTGGAGGCGACGATGGTCTTCAGGAAGGAGGCGCAGGTGTGGGTGGACAAGGGGTGATGAGTACGTACCTGGTGTATGTGGGAGGTCGGCATTAGTATCGACGTCATGTACATTGGTCTTCGAAATCGAAGTGAGCCTGTTGCATGAATGTAGATAGCCTAGGTAGGATGTTACATGCTGCACGGGGCATTTTCAGGCCCGTGTCGTTTCAGCTTGAAAACAAGGGCCTACAAATTCTGTGTCGTTTCAGCCTGAAAGCCTGAAAACAAGGGCCTACAGGCCTTGTGTCGTTTCAGCCTAAAACAAGGTCTTTCCGCCCCTGAGTCTTTTCAACCTGAAACGAAGGGCCATTTTCAGGCCCTCATAAGATCGACCTGCCCTTAAACTCAGGCACCAGACCAGGGTTTTAGCACAGGCCATTTTTGGCCTGTTTTCAAGACCACCTTTGTTTGAGCTTCAACGCTATGGTCTGGCACATTTTGGCATTGGCAAGAGCAGCCTCCTGGACGGGCAAGCACTATATAAGACTGGCCCCCCCTGCAGGCTGCAGGTAGTTCCTCGGTACTTCCCAAGCACTGAGGAGTCAGCAA